ACAGAGCATGATTTGTATTGTATGGCAGCCCTGTCTGTTCTTTCACCTGCTCCATCAGGGTGCATGCCAAACCTCTGATCCTCTGGATAGCATTTTCAGCTAAGCTGTTTCCTGCTGAGTCTCTGACCTTGGTGGTGTACAGCCGAGTCCTCAAACCCATAGCATGGCGACTGTTGAGAATGATCCTCAGTAAAGTGCGGATTGTCGGCTCGTTGTCTCCATACAGTCCAATCTCGACGTGTCCAAGGTTCTGCACAAAAGTCATCACCTCTCTCGCCATCAGATTGAGTTGACCTTTGGACTGCAAAGGAACTGCTCCCAGGGTGCCCGTCTGGCTGCAAGTCATGACCAGCCAAATCGTCGACTTCACCTCACGAATCCTCACTGCTTCCTGGCCCTCGTCCTGTCCAGCCTCGTAGAGGTCTACCCCCATGTCCTCTTCAATCTCTTGGCCTCGGTCAACATGTTGCGGGTCTCTATCCACCTCTCCAGCTTTCGTGTAAGCAAAGTCCAAGGAGATGACTGGCACACCGCCAATCCTCGAAGCTCCCGTCCTCATGTGACGGTCTGGCCTCCCACGATGCTTCAAGCATGCCTCACACCATGGTTGGTATGGGACGTGGGATAGCGCGTGTAGATCTTGAGCCTCCTGAGATGGAACTGGGATCACAGGTTGCATCCTCGGACGTCGTGCCACCTGCATCTCAGCTGCTGCCACTGCTTCTGCTGCCGCCTTTATCTCACGCTCCTTCAGGTAGCTCACCAGCCGCTGATAGCACTTCAAGCGACTGCCAGACTGACTCACCCCAAAGAAGCGACATGCTGCCCTGAGTTCTCTGAGCTTGCTCACTGCAGTCAGCTCCACTTCGTTCACCATGATGTGGTCTGGCAACCCTGCTGCCAGCTCGAGTCGTCCTTCCTGGATGACTTCCTCAACTCTGGGACCAGGTTCGTCAGCCACTGGTCCATCCCCCAATTGAGGTTGCTCCTCAGAGGGAAGTTCATGCTCTCTTCTCGGCACCTCCTCATCTGGTAGCGCCTTCAACTCTGAATCCACCTCGAAGCCCATGTCCTCAGTTGCCATGGCCTCCTTCGTCAAGATGGTCAAGATCAGGGTGTTTTCAGCTGCATTCTCGAGCGGCTCCTCCTGATCTTGTAGACCATGGAGAGATTCACACATCTCGAGCAACTGCCACTTTCCATCGACTCTTACCAACGTAGTTCTCAGCCAGTCAACATCTCCGGGGATGCCGCCAACATACTGTGGATTCTGCATCTTCTTGCCTACATGCACGCCAATCCAGCGGTTGTCCATCTGCTTCCAGCCAACCTGCTGTTTAACCTTCTGCTCCATCTCATCGTTCAACTTGGCCTCCAGCATCCTCACCACATGAGGTCCACAAGCAATCGCCCTCACGTAGCCCTCTGCTGTCAGGCTCTTGTTCTGCAACTTCAAGGGAATCCTCAATCTGCTTCCCTCAACTCCATAGGTCATTGCACACTGACCCCCATCAATGCTCCATCCTCCTTCGAGCAGCTTGCCAAAGGAAAGAATCGGCTGCGATATGCCATCCGAGAAGTGAGCCTTGTCATAGATCTGGATGTGCTTGCCATTCTCATCTTCGAAGTGAAAGCAAACATGCCTGTAGCCTTTGGTGGCTATCGAGGTTCCTTGGGCATCTTGAAGCTTCGGCTCGTCCTCATCCGCCTCAACTCCAACTCCAAGGTAGCCACTCGGCAGGATAGTGGCGTCTGCACCTGAGTCGATGATGATGTTCACCAACTCGTCACCGTCTTCCATCTCAGACTCATTCACCATGCTCTTCACCATGTTGACATTGAGCACCAACTGCTCTCCACTGTCTGAAGTCAGCTCCTCCTCACCAGCAATGCTGTAGAACTGAACCACCCTCACTGCCGAAGATGTTCCTCCAGTTCCGCTCTGCCTCAAGTCGAAAACAACTGACTCCTCGTCAAATTCATGTGAAACTCGTGAAACTGTTGGCACCATCGAAATCCTCTTGATTGTGCCTGACTTCCAGGTGGTAGCTTGACTTGTAGCACCTGTCGAAGCTTGCGTTGCTGTCTCTGCACTTGTCTTGCTCTGTCCACTCTCATCGCTGACTTGTCGAACTCGCCAGCAATCTCGAGCCAAGTGACCTGCTTTGCCACATGTGAAGCACGTCTTCACCGGCTGCTCTGACTTGCCTTTTCCTTTCTGCTGGTCACCTTTGCCACCTTTGGACTGAGCTTTACCTCCGCCATCGTAGCCCTTGCCATAGGTCTTACCCTTTGCTTTTCCACCTTTGGGTTGATCTCCCTTACCTTTGCCCTTGCGCTCATAGTCTTTGCCCTTTCCTTTGCTCTTTCCATCTCCCTTGCCCTTGATGCGGTCAATCTCCATGGGTGTAGGGCCTTCTGAGCTCTCTCCACCAAGCATCATCGTGCTGCTCCATCTCAACGTGGCCGTGTCATACTGGATGACTGCCTCCCTGAGCTGCCCATAGTCCTGGCTCTCTGCAACATCAAGCTGCAGCCATGTCTTGAGCTGGCCACTGACACACTTCATGAGGACCGCAAACTTGATGGTGTCCTCGAGCTTGGACCCAGTTTTCTCGTACTCCGCATAGGCCTCTTCCAAGCGAAGCAGTTGGCCAAGGATGCTTCCTTTCCTCATGTCGAAAGGCTTCCACTCCAAAATCATCGTCAGCAAACCTAACGAACGATTCTTCGAGGCAGGTTCAAGGCTCTTGATGAGCATTCGATAGGCCTCCATGCCATTTGAATCCTTCACCTGTCGAACTAGGGCAAGTGGACGCTGTCGGACCAATGAAGCCAACAAAGAGTAAAGGAAGGTGCTCCTCTGTCGTTCCTGGTCAGTTTGGATGCTAGGGTCAACAACCGTGTCAGGCCTCTTCCTCAGCTCCTTGAAGTCCTCTGCAAAGGCGCCATCCATCGAGGAGAGGTACTGCTCAACGCTCCAGCTGAAGTCCCTTCATTGGCTCAGCTCTTCCTCTCTCGTCTTGGCATCGAAGTTGGCAGGCTTTGGAAGAACCCTGAACCAGTTCTTGTCCCCCTCAGGCCTGCGTCCAAGGGCCTCCGCTGCGCTCTGAGCCGCCATCGAAGCCGCCTCAGCAACCTGAATCATCCGTAGGGCAATTTCTTGGCCATCCATCTGGCCTCCAGAGGTAGGTGACCCCTGGGACATGGACCAACCTTCGTGCCTTCCTCACCTTCAAGGGCCTCCAAGATCAGGTGGATGTAGTCCTGCGGGGTGTAGTGATCGTGTAGTCGAGGGGGCCACTTGCTATGATTGCCTATGGCGCGGCACGCTCAACCTGGAGCCTCCACTCCCACCTAAGGGAGCTTCTCAGGCTCCGCTACCATGCGGACCTTTTCCTTGAGATGCAACGGCCTTGTTTGGTACACTTCTCATTTGCGCAGTGTCATCTTAAATGACCTGTGAGTACATACAATTGCCTTTCGCAGAATCCTATCTTCTTTCAAGATCAAGACTCTCAAGCTCCGCTCCAGAAGCTCTGCTCGGCCGATCCCGAACCAACGGCCGCGGAGCGGCCGATACTGTGTCTCCCTCCGCACGTCCTCCGACCCGTGGCACCGGCCGAGGGGCCGGAGAGCCTCATCCAGCGTCAACATTGACTGAATCAAAACCCATTGTGAAGATGTAAAGCCATGACAGGAGGAGAAGGTAGGATAGGTTTCATTTCATCAGCCGTCGACATGACATGGTTTGGTGGAAGGGAAACTTGTTTGCGAAGAAAAACGTCCCCCGGGACGTCCACAGCCTCCATTCCTACAGAGGCCCCAATTGCAGTTACGAACCAACGTGATCCAAGCGACCAGCTTGCAGAAATTGCGGAAAGTGAAAAAAGAACAGAAACAAGCCCTCCAAGCATAACCAGACTTCTGAAACTTACTTCCCTGATATCATGCACGGAAGTGACAAAAAAAACACTCACCTGTTGAGTCTTCAGATCTCATGCTCCTTCTCCCAACCTCCGGAGGCCCTCCCAACCTCGCGGCCCATCCCATCCCATCCCATGCCACCTTGGCCGATGCTTGGCTCGGGAGTGCATGGCTCGGTTCCAACGTCCGCTGCCCCAGTGCATCCGGAAGCGGCGACGGCCTCGGTGGATCCGGCGACGCCCTCGAGTGCGACGGCCGCGGGCCCCTACACCTCCCGTGCTTGCGCGGCCCCCCAGGTGTTTGGGGAATGGAACAGGCCCGCCCTTGGAGGTCAGAAGAGCCTTTTTTCGACCAATGAGGTGGTGCAATCCCCATAAGCATGGGGCTGGAACACAGGGAGAGTATTTGTTGTTCGGTCAAAAAAAACAAGAACCTTGTTTTGTGTGTCCCAGACTCTGCATGGGACTGGTATATGCCTACACAAACAGTCGAACACATCACCTAACCTGACGAGGTACAACTGGATCCCTAGGGTTTATATACAGTACCCATACACTCCATGTATGCCATATATGCCTACATCAGGGTGGTTGAAAAGGGGTCCATCTATGTAAATATGCCAGTCCCATTCATTCGTCGTGTCTGGGTGTTGCATCGAGGCGTTCTCTTCGTCTCGAACGAGTCACTGAAGAAACACTCCAAGCTCGCCACATCCGACTCACCGCAGACAACGAGAAAAGCTCACCGCAGACAACCCATTCAGCAGCAGTTCGGCATGTGCCGAACACTCATCCTGGTCAACGAGGCTTCGTTCGCAGTTTCAGGTTCGCAGGTTTCGCTGCGTTCGAGCTTCCAAGAGAGGTTGAGTGGTACCTATGGGATAGTCTAGAGGGTTCTTCAACCTCTGTTGCTGGTCACGGAACACGCAATGACATCCCACTTCGAAGCAACGACATACGGGATGCCAACACATGCTGCCCCGCTGGTCAGCACGACCAACACGATGATTCTCAAAACCCCAGCCTCACAGAAGCACCATGCCGATCGGGATCCAGTCCAGGATCGCAAAACGGCTAGTTGCCTGGAACTCAAGTCTCTTGGAGGTGCGGGAGGAGGAGAAGCTGAGCCCCGATGCCCCCTCGATGGAAAGTAACAAGAAACACAGTATGACTCATGCCACCTGGGGTTCCAGGAGCTGCATCAACTACGTTCAACTATTTGTGCTATCCATTGCTATCCCCACCAAGTCCTTCACGGCTGGCATGGAAACACATCCCCTTTGGGAACGGTTTGCATCGCCGGAGCAACTCGAGTTTCCGGCGACCAAGGCATTGCTTAAAGGGTCTCCAAGCAAGCTGAGCAAGGAAGAGTCCAGACCTCCACCGCAAGACGTACTCGTCTCCTGGACGTACTCGTTGGCAAAGATGCAAAGGCAAAGATGCAGCCTCTGGGCGTCACATGCAACAAAACATGGGTGTCAGCCAGCAATGAATTTGATGAAACCATGTCCTCAAGCAGGAAGTCTTACATGCCAGAGGCGTCCCTTCATCAAATCAACTACACTGGATGGTATTTCAAGAGGCGTCCGTCTCGACCGGATGGTCTGGGCTACCCGTACAGTGGGTATCAATGATCGGACTTCACCAGTGGAGTACATACAGTAAATTTCAATCTGAAACCCAGGACATAAGCTCAACATGTTGTTTGTCAACATGTAGGGCTCCGAACCTGACTGTCCGTGGCGGTTGCACCTGTCCTTTTCAACATACTCACCTCACTCAAGTAAGTAGGTCATTCCACGTTGGTCAGTGGCCTGAAGCCAGCAACATAGCTTGATGCTTGGACAATCAGTGGGGGTTGGTGTTGATCCTCCCAAGGAGCATGGCCCTAGCAATCCTGATCGAAAGACCCCAAGACCCCACCAACATACTGTTGGCAACCAAGTATCCCTTCTGCTTCGCTGGGCACCAAGCACCGGGCTTCAACCTTGCATGTGTGGCCCCTGTTGAGACCTGGGTCGCCCTAGCCAAACACACGGGGTGGCCCAGGGAACAACGCGGATTCAGGAACACCCGGAGGCTTTGGAGCTCTGGCATTTACTGTGTTTTTTGTCCCCACGTTTCCTGGCTACAACTAACTGTCTTAGGGTAAAATCAAAACCCAACTCCCTCAATTCCCTGCAGATGTTGCTTTCACTCACCCATGGCTCAATGAATAAACAAATTATTAACAAATCTCATATCTCATATTTCCAAGTAATGCAGCCATAGTACAGACGCAAAGAGCCCCGTGCCATTCTGCGGATCTGATGCATTCGTCTTGGCAAAGATTCACTAGGAACACCACTTACCAAGAAGATCCAAGAAGTAGTTTCCCTCTGGTTGCTTTGTCTACCCAAAAAGGCCCCGCACAACCCGCGACCCCTGTCGGCCAACTGCTCTCGGATTGAGATGTTCATCTCCACCCGCACTGGTGCCTTCCAAGCAACTGGCGCGCACCAAAAAGGGAGTGCGGCATCTGAAGCATCAACCTAGACAGCAAGCTCAAATCAGGACATTCCTTCACCACATGTTCAATCGCAGGCAAATGGCACTCATGCAAAATCTGGGAGTTAGTTGCTGCATCCTACTTCAAGGGAGTGTTCTTCTCCACCCAAAACCATGGGTTTGGGGGGATGGTGAACCCTTATCGGCGATCTGTTCACGAAGCAAACTCGCAGCGTTTGCAACTGTTCTGCAACAAAAAAGACCTGCAAGCCTCTGACATCGAGCGTGTCCAGAGACAACCAGGCATCGAAGCCTTCATAGCCTGGTGGCCCACCCGTGCCAAACCCGGCCGCGCCAAGCCGTACATTTGTTTTTGGGGTACGTGGGGGGAGTGTTCGGAGTGTTCGGAGTGGAAGAACGAGACGGTTGGGACACAGAATGGTATGAAGATCATGTATCTAAACATGTCATGTTTCCCGAAGTGGTACAAAAAGAATAAACCCAGGAACCACATGGTCAACAAATGATACTTCGATGAGATGGACATCTTTGTTTGACAGGTTTCAGTATGCCGCTTTGGTCACTCCCCAAACACCCATGCTCACTTGAGTACATCAAGCAACATGCACCAATCATCCCAGTAGAATCTACTGCCACCCTCTGAGAAGGCGATGTGTTCAACACTTTGACATAGATGCCAGGAGGCTCAAATCGTACCAAACCGTTTCGAAGGTGGCAGTGGGTTTAGCTGGCTGGTGGTTTCAATTAAACAAAGAAGACCTGAGAAGCTGCAAAACGAAAGCCAGCGCTTCCCTTTCTCGAGAACTGCGCGTCGAAGCATAGGATAGAAAGGTAGGTCTGCACCCTAGATCCACCATCCCACTCCATTTTCTTTCATTTCTCTACGGCAGCTCCGCTTGGCATTTGCCAGGTGGAGGCGGCCGTGAGACCTCTTACACACCTACACAAGTTCAAAGCACGAATGAGACTTCAAAGCTGTGGATTGCTGTGCGTGTGTAGAGGCTATCGAGCGGTTGACGGAAAGGGAACTTGAAGTACTATACCTGGTAGCTGCAAGCAAGGTGCCAACTACACCTTTCTTTTCAAGGTGGCCTGAACAGAGTGTTTCAGGGCAGTAAACCGTGGTCTCAGGCCACCTTGAATTTAGCTTGAAAACCACAGCTACATAGCTACCCTGGGTCTCTATACCTGGCAAGGTGCCAACTACACCTTTATTTTCAAGGTGGCCTGCACAGAGTGTTTTAGGGCAGCAAACCCTGGTCTCAGGCCACCTTGAATTTAGCTTCAAAACCACAGCTTTGAAGCCTCATGCGCGCCATACCTGGGAACAGAATTGTAGCTACAAGACCTTTATTTTCAAGGTGGCCTGAACAGAGTGTTTTAGGGCAGCAAACCGTGGTCTCAGGCCACCTTGAATTTAGCTTGAAAACCACAGCTACATAGCTACCCTGGGTGTCTATACCTGGCAAGGTGCCAACTACACCTTTATTTTCAATGTGGCCTGAACAGAGTGTTTTAGGGCAGCAAACCCTATTTATACGGACCCAGGGTAGCTACAAGTAGCTACAGTTCTGGTATGGCGCGCATGAGGCTTCAAAGCTGTGGTTTTCAAGCTAAAGTCAAGGTGGCCTGAGACCAGGGTTTGCTGCCCTAAAACACTCTGTTCAGGCCACCTTGAAAATAAAGGTGTAGTTGGCACCTTGCCAGGTATAGACACCCAGGGTAGCTATGTGGCTGTGGTTTTCATGCTAAATTCAAGGTGGCCTGGGACCACGGTTTGCTGCCCTAAAACACTGTGTTCAGGCCACCTTGAAAATAAAGGTGTAGTTGGCACCTTGCCAGGTATAGACACCCAGGGTAGCTATGTAGCTGTGGTTTTCAAGCTAAATTCAAGGTGGCCTGAGACCACGGTTTACTGCCCTGAAACACTCTGTTCAGGCCACCTTGAAAAGAAAGGTGTAGTTGGCACCTTGCTTGCAGCTACCAGGTATAGTACTTCAAGTTCCCTTTCCGTCAACCGCTCGATAGCCTCTACACACGCACAGCAATCCACAGCTTTGAAGTCTCATTCGTGCTTTGAACTTGTGTAGGTGTGTAAGAGGTCTCACGGCCGCCTCCACCTGGCAAATGCCAAGCGGAGCTGCCGTAGAGAAATGAAAGAAAATGGAGTGGGATGGTGGATCTAGGGCGCAGACCTACCTTTCTATCCTATGCTTCGACGCGCAGTTCTCGAGAAAGGGAAGCGCTGGCTTTCGTTTTGCAGCTTCTCAGGTAGTATGTTGCTATACCTCTTACACACCTATACAAGTTCAAAGCACGAATGAGACTTCAAGGCTGTGGCTTGCTGTGCGTGTGTAGAGGTTCTCAAGCGGTTGACGGAAAGGGAACTTGAAGTACTATACCTGGTAGCTGCACTATAGCTACCCTAGGTCTCTCTACCTTGCAAGGTGCCAACTACACCTTTCCATTCAGATGATGCAAATGATGCATTTTGCATTTCTTGCATCACCACCCCTCAAAAATCACCTCCAACACAAACCTCAAAAAACCTTCCCTCGGAGCACCCTCCTCCCCCAGCATGTGCTGAGTTGACGTGTCCCTTTCTCGGGCCACCCCCCCAGACCCCCTAACTACTCACTTCGTTCGCCAGACACAACTCCGCTAGCGCCTTCTATGAAGGCTGGCTTTCGTAACAAAAACCCTTTCCGTCCATCCGTCCCCCATCTCCGACCATTTGCGGGAATTCCCGTGCGTTGCACCGTGTGTTTTTCCGTCCCACGGAGAGACAACGCCGATTTCCCGGTACCAAGGTGCCCATGTAGTGCACCTTCACTGGAGCCTTTTTCTTCTTGCGCAGGAAAGAGATGTTGATGATCCTCACATCAAATCGGTGTGCGCTGCTGAAGGGGCCCAAACAATCCAAACGCCACTCGGAGCACAAACCCCTTTGGAAGGTAGAACATCCAAAACCCCACTCAGATGGGAGCATGTCACTGGCAGAACTTCCCAAAAAGAATCCCCCTCATCCCAGCACTTGCAGGCCGAGCTGCTCTGCTGAATAGTACTTCTGATCCGCCGCATACATGGCGTGCAGCCGCATGCCGACCCTAAGGTTCTCCATGGCGGAGCGACGTGTAAAACCTGTTGTGTTGTAGCGCGCACTCTTCCCAACGTTTATCGTTTTTTTCCCGAAAGCATTGCGAAGGGTTCTTCCGGAAAATCCCTTGAACACTGACACTTCGACACTTACACTTACACACTGACACTTCCACACTTGCACTTGAACACTGACATTTCTACACTTACACTTGAACACACTGACACTTGAACACATACACGTCTATACGTATCCCAGTGTAAGGGTAAAAAGCATCCAAGGGCAAGTATGCAAGTGTAAGTATCCAAGTGCAAAAGTATGCAAGTATCCCAGCGCAATCCCCGTGCAAGTATGCAAGTTTGAGTATGGAAAACTTGCACGGGAGATGTCCTAATGAAAAACATTTCCCCACTTGATAAATTCTCTCTTAAAGGCGGAGGGTGGGACGAACAGCGTCAACCGAAAACGCAACGCTCTGCGGAGATCGTGCGCGTCGAGCGCGCAAAAAGCAGGCGAGAGTGCGATTTGTCCGGTCCGCGCGCAACCCTCTGCGGAGATCGTGCGCGTCGAGTGCGCGAAATGCAGGCGAGAGTGCGATTTGTCCGGTGCGCGCGCAACCCTCTGTGCGGAGATCGCGCTTGTCGAGTGCGCGAAATGCAGGCGAGAGTGCGATTTGTCCGGTCCGCGCGCAACCCTCTGCGGAGATCGTGCGTGTCGAGTGCGCGAAATGCAGGCGAGAGTGCGATTGGTGTGGTCCGCGCGCAACCCTCTGTGGAGATCGTGCGTGTCGAGTGCGCGAAATCCAGGCGAGAGTGCGATTTGTCCGGTGCCCGCGCAACCCTCTGCGGAGATCGTGCGCGTCGAGTGCGAGAAATGCAGACGAGAGTGCGATCTGTCCGGTGCGCGCGCAACCCTCTGCGGAGATGTGCGTGTCGAGTGCGCGAAGTGCAGGCGAGAGTGCGATTTGGGGAGCTGGAAGATGAGAACTGGCGATCTGCTAGTACAACTTTAGTACGTGGAGCAATCTGTGGAGCTGGAAGCTGAGAACTGGCGACTCGCTAGTACAACTTTAGTGCGCGGAGCAATCTGTGGAGTTGGAAGCTGAGAACTGGCGACTTTGTAGTACAACTCTAGTACGCGGAGCAATCTGTGGAGGGGGAAGCTGAGAACTGGCGACTTTGTAGTACAACTTTAGTGCGCAGAGTATCGGGGGAGCTGCAAGATGAGGAAGATGAGAACTGGCGACTTTGTAGTACAACTTTAGCACGCGGAGTATCTGCGGAGCTGGAAGATGAGAACTGGCGACTTGGTAGTACAACTCTAGTGCGCGGAGTATCTGGGGAGCTGGAAGATGAGAACTGGCGACTCGGTAGTACAACTTTAGTACGCGGAGCAATCTGTGGAGCTGGAAGCTGAGAACTGGCGACTTTGTAGTAGAACTTTAGTACGCACAGTATCTGGGGAGCTGGACGATGAGAACTGGCGACTTTGTAGTACAACTTTAGTACGCGGAGTATCTGGGGAGCTGGAAGAGGAGAACTGGCGACTTGGTAGTACAACTTTAGTACGCGGAGTATCTGGGGAGCTGGAAGATGAGAACTGGCGACTTGGTGGTACAACTTTAGTACGCGGAGCAATCTGTGGAGCTGGAAGCTGAGAACTGGCGACTTTGTAGTAGAACTTTAGTACGCAGAGTATCTGGGGAGCTGGACGATGAGAACTGGCGACTTGGGAGGCCTGCGCGCTACTTCGTTCACTATATCTACAGTGAAGACCTTCACCAGCGGCAGACATAGACACACACACACAGACAGGGACTCATACACACACACATCACACACAGAGACCCACACACTGCCTCAACTTACTCGGACACACACACAGACAGAGACTCATACACACACAGACATAGATACACACACAGAGACCCACACACTGCCTCAACTCACTTGACTTAACACTTCGCTCTGAACACTCAGCAGATAACTCACACTCTGACTTCCTACGTGATGAAAAATGCTTTCGGGCCACTCGTCGTCTAGTTTGTGAACCTTATCGTTCCTGAGGGTTTGGACACACCTAACAACATGTATACTGAGGACTGAGGACCAATGACTTAGGACTTGCTGGTACCAATGACATGGGTACTTACGACAAATCCTATGTCAGTGGCGGATGGTATACTAAAACCTTCCAGGCAGAGCCTGAGCAAGGCTGCAGGCAAGTGGTTGGTAAAACACCAGGCAAAGCCTGAGCAAGCGGATATCAACGGTCCGCACTGATCGGGCTACTGATGATGATATATATATATATATACCCCTACTCTGCGGCAGCGAAGCCGTGGAGTGGTCGGTTGTATATTGGGACTGCATTTGCTTACCCCCCTCACCATAATGAATGATGATGTTCCATGTTTGTTGCAAGAAAAC